ACAAGTTTCAAAAAGGAAATTCTCCATTTGCGCGTATATATCTTGAATCTGTTTCATTTAGAATGAATTTAGATCAATAATGAGTTCGTTTAACATTTAATTTCTATAATTATATTATAATTTTATTTCTAAAAAAAAAAAAAAAAAAAAAGAAAAATAATACAAATTTAGCTCTCCTATTTTTTTTAGAGATAATTATTTTTAATCAACCCTGATACAAAATTATATTCTACTACTTGTCATTGTTTTAAAAAATTCACTCACATTGCTTACATTATTAAATCTTTGATTATATCAAAAAGAAAATTTCTTCGTTTAATCGTTACAAAAGAATTTCGTGCTTTTATATGTATAACTCGCCTCGTCTCACCAAAATCTTCTCCACCATCGATTTCGTGCTGATATGGAGATTCCTCCTTTTCGAGACGGAGCGGAGGAAAGCTTTTGCGGCGCTGCATCTCAGTCCATTCCTCAATGTCCCGTGGGAATAGGTGAACCCGGTTTGCCTCGGCCCGTTCACGTCAACGATGTCGTACCCCATCTCCCTCCCTGCTTTCATCAGGTAATCGATGATCGACAGCCGATAATGGAAGTGTTCGACGGTCAGGTGTCCACCTGTCTGGTGGTAAGGGGAGTCCCGATACTCCTCGATCCTCATGTCTTCCGATTTCTTGAAGTAGGGTAGCACGTTCTCGTAGCTCCATCCCCGGTTACCCATCCTCTCCCAGTTGTCGTAATCTTTTTTGTTCCCACGAATGTACAGCATCACGTTCAACACGCTGCTTCCGCCCAACACCTGGACCAGGTAACACGTTGGATATATATACATATTGTTGGCATTAACAAAAGGAAAATTAGAGTGTTCGATTTTGTGATTTTTGTATACGTTTTATATACGAAATGAATTCAGGAAGAAAGATTCGTTGTAAGGTTTCTTCGAAGAAAAGGAGAATTTCTTCTTCTTCTTCTTCTTCTTCTTGTTCTAGGTTCAGAGACATTTATATAGCTATTGAAATTGTTCTGTCCATATTTAACAGTGTTATCTCATAAATTAAGGTACGTATCTACTTTCTTAATTAGAATAACTTTCTATTTTCACTTCGCACGTGTATTACATAATATACCTGGCATACGTATAGATGAGCAACACTGGCCTGGCAACTACTTGGTCAAAACTCTTTGTGGAGGGCAAATAACAGAAAATTTTGTTGTGAAATTTATTATTGGAATAAAATCGGATATAGAAGGGGGATACCTTGCCGCGTGGCCAGTTGCACTCGTGAGCCCTCATCGCTTTGCAATAATTGTCCGACGGCTCTGTCTTGAATTGCCAATCTATGGGGGTGAGTTGAAGGACTGGAAACATTAAGGGCACGTCCGAGAAGTCTGGCTCGTCGGCGCCGGCCTCCAGCAGCAACACCGTCCAATTCTTGTTCTCGGATAATCGATTGGCCAGCACCGAGCCGGCCGAGCCACCCCCGATTATCACGAAATCGTAAATGTTTTGAGGGGCCAGGCTCGGCCTCACCCTCGATTCACGATCGATGATATCCGACCTGTACATGCCTATCAGGATACGAAGCAGCACCAAGAAACTCAGTTCTGGGCCGTACGACATTGCTATTCTCATGGCGGATATTTTCCCCACGTCGGCCATTTTTTTTGGGGGGGAGGAGGAAGGGGGGAGAAGATCGTATTGTTTTATTCTCGATCGTTCGATTATTCTTCCTTTATTATTGCGATCTTCAATTCGAAGAAAGAAAGAAAATTTCGAAAATTTTTAAAATTTCTCGGTAATTTTATCGTGTGTTGTGGAATCTTTATGGTGAATTTTGGTGACTCTCGATGACTCCAGATTCTTTTCTTTAAAATTGACGTTTGATTTAAACACTTAAATCGTTGCGGAGTTGGAATCTTCGAGGTGTTATCTGTGGAATAATTAATTTTCTATATTTATCCAAATAAATATGTTTTATTTGATTTTTTTTGCAATAATCATTACTTAGAAAACTAGATGAAAATTTTGACAATTTATTCAATTTTGTCGTATGATTAAGTCAAAAAATATTTAAAAAAAAATTCTTTTACCTAGAAACGATTATCTGTAAAACAACTTCGTTTTTTTTTTTCTTCTTCTTCTTCTTCTTCTTCTTTTTTATAACACTCTAAAAATAACAGTTTTGAGTAAAAAATATTTTTTTTAAAAACTTCACCTAGATATACAATTCTACACAAAATTTTACACGCAAAAAATTGCACAAACGTCACACAATTGTTTTACGACAAACCACGAAAATCAACTGCCAATGTAAAGACGTAAGCGAACATGCTGCTTACATGTCGCTGAATCAGCTGTTCGAATATCGAGTGCAACAGTTGCAAAATTGAACGTTAACATACGTATGTAAGATATTGAAAATAATCCATATAAACTTAAATTTTTTTCGAGAGATTTACATATATTAATATGTATATATATATATCGTATTAATAAACTAATATTTATATTAAAAATAAAAATTACTATCGATGCATAAAATATACAGTACATTTTCTTATTTATACATCTTGTACATCATTATTTAACTCAAAACGTTTTTTTTTTTTCTTTTCAATAAGGAATCACAAGTATCGAGCTACAAATGTTTCTCTTCAAATCCGATAAGTAATAATAATTTAAATAATAATAATAATGATGATAATAATAATAATAATAATAATAATAATAAAAACATTTAAAGAAATATATAAAATTAATTCAATAAATTTTGCAATGGACTATCGTACGTGGACTAAAAGGCTAAATGTATCATCGGTTTTAATACCAAAAAAACCTAACGACACTTAATTATTATACATTAAACATTGTGTAACTTTATACCACCATCGAAACACGAGTTATAACTATACTAAGTTCTTCTTTTTTTTTTTTTTTTTTTTACTAAATTCATCTTAAAATTAACACATTTAAAAAACAATCATCCAATCAATATTTACAATCAATCAATTTACAAAACAACTATATTCATATTCACATCTACAAAAAGTTTCACTCGAAATTACTTCACAAAACCACTCCTTCTCCCACTCCTTCTCTTCAACCAAAACTCCTTTATCATATCAGATCCCTTCTCTCCGATCATGATAACCGGCGCATTGGTATTCCCACTGACTAAATTCGGCATGATGGACGCATCGATGACTCTCAACCCGTTGATCCCATAAACCCTGAGCTCAGGATCGACGACAGCCTCCGGGTCCCAATAAGGGCCCATCTTGCACGTGCCCACTGGATGGTAAACAGTGACCGTGTAATGCCTGATCATGCACTCCCAATACTGGTCACTGTACATACGAATATTCTTGCAACCTGGAAAATGCTTCGAGTTCACCTCGCTCCCAAAACGTCTGAAAGCTTGGGTCCTGCTCAAAGCGACGGCAATCTTAACCCCTTCGACCAGCGTCGCGATATCCTCCGGCTCCTTGAAGTAATTAGGATATATCAGCGGATGGGCGAAGGGGTCCTTGCTACGCAACTTGATAACACCTTTGCTTTTAGGCCTTAAAAGCATGGGTATCACGCTCCACACGTCCAAGTCGTTCAAGGCCCCGTATACAGCGTCGTAGAACTTCTTTGTCAATCCGTGAATCTTCCTGATCTGTCTACCGCCGTCAGAATTAGTCGAGCCGGATACGAAATGGAGCTCTATATCCGGGAAATCGTCAGAGGCGTTCACGTACTTCGTATTGACGAAGCCTAGACCCTCGACACCGCCGAGGACGGTCAGGGGCCCGTTCCCAAAGATGGCGTACTGCATCACTGTTTGCACGGTGTGCAACCTCTTCTCAACCATCGAGATCTCCTTGTCCACGAGGAACGTGAGCCCACCCAGGCCCACGTGATCTTGCATGTTGTATCCAACTCTTAGATCCTGGACCACCGGTATACCGTGTTTGGACAAGTGTTCCCTGGGCCCGATCCCCGACAACATGAGCAATTGGGGGGAATTGATGGATCCGCCTGAAACGATCACCTCTTTCTTCGCCCGAATCCGGAACATCTTCTGATCCCTGACGAACTCAACCCCGTACGCCCTCTTGGACTTGGGGTCTATCAGAATTTTGGTCACGTGCGACTGCATGGCGATGTGCAAGTTCTTGCGCAGCCTGGCCGGCCTGAGGAACGCCTTCGCCGTGGAGCATCGACTACCGCGCCTGATCGTCCCCTGGGCGATCATAAAACCTGTGTGCTGTTCCCCGTTTATGTCCCTGTTCTCGTATCCCATCTCCTGCCCGGCTTGGATGAAGGCTGTGGCCAGTGGTGTGTGCCAAGGCGCTTCTTGGACGGTCAGGTATCCTCCTGTCGAGTGGTAGGGTGTTCTGGTTAGGTAAGGGTTTTGATTGTCCTCCGATTTCTTGAAGTAGTAGAGCACGTCCTTGAAAGACCATCCCCGGTTCCCTTGACTCTCCCAGATGTCGTAGTCCTTCTTGTTCCCGCGAAGGTAGAGCATGTAGTTCAGCACGCTGCTGCCCCCTATCACTTTCCCCCGTGGCCAGTTGCAGCGGCCGTTGCTCATCGCTGTTGGGCACAGTTTGGTTAGCAAATTTAGGTGGCGCTCAAATCCAACTTTAAGGGTTGTGGTATGGATGACTTTTTTTTTTGGCATTTATGATGTGTATAGCAGATTTTTTTTTTAGATTGCCAATTGTAAATTGTCTCGTTATCAATCTTTCTTCCTTTCTTAAAGAATATGAAGGATTAGAGTTTTAATAAATTTTGGAAAAGATAGAGAGATTTATCTCTTGAAGAATTGAACGGTGTGAATCACTTCTAATAACGCATAGATTGCTTTTGCAATTTTTGTTAGAGTGTTTGTTGAAATTACCAATTTCACATCCTCCATTGAATTCATGGAAAAATGTTACTTTGAGACAATTATATTGATACAGTTATTTATCAATCTTTCTTCCTTTCTTAAAGAATATGAAGGATTAGAGTTTTAATAAATTTTGGAAAAGATAGAGAGATTTATCTCTTGAAGAATTGAACGGTGTGAATCACTTCTAATAACGCATAGATTGCTTTTGCAATTTTTGTTAGAGTGTTTGTTGAAATTACCAATTTCACATCCTCCATTGAATTCGTGGAAAAATGTTGCTTTGAGACAATTATATTGATATAGTTATTTACCTAGGCAGGACTGTCCATCGGGTTCTGTTTTGTATTGCCAATCGAGTTGGCTAAGCTGTAAATATCCGGCAAGCAGAGGAATATCAGAGATTTCCGTTTCATCGCCCCCAGCTTCCAGAAGAAGCACGTTCCAATTTTCTATCTCAGACAGGCGACTTGCCACCACAGCTCCTACAGTGAATGTTTAATAAAACTTGGTTGAAATTGGTAAACGTGATCTGTACACGGACTAAAATAAAATTTTGCGGAAAAATGAAAGAACATTAGGACAGGAAACACTAGAATGAAGTAGAACGAAGTAATTAAATTAAATTACCGATATAAAAGAATACTATTCATCTCCTTGGATCCACGATTTTTCGAAAGAAAGTAATTTTAATTTTGTATCCACTTTAAGAATTAATGATGTGAACACACCTGCTGAACCAGCTCCCACTACGATAAAATCATAAGCAGGCAAGAGCACTTCAGAGGGTATATTAATCGGCGGTGCCTCGTTGTCCATCACTTCGTACTCGAAATAAACGAGGGCCGCAGCGAGCACAGGAAAGAACCACGAAAGTCCGCTGGATGCCGAGGTCAGGCCTCCGGTTAAAACGCTCTCGATGCCCATTCTTTTCTTCCCTTATCAATCGTCTGCAATATTAAAATTCACCAAATCATCATTCGCTCGAACTACCTTCGATCAAAAATAAAACATAAAATTCTCCGAATTTTTTTAACTCTCAAGTTGAAGTATCTCAAAGATGACTTATTTCTTAAATCCAACATCAATCTCATTTCACTTAATATGATCGAAAATAAATGATATTCGAACCTCGAAATAATTGAAATAAAATTGAAATCAAATGTTCTCAAATAAGTGTTATTCGATTTTTTCCACAAACACCCGTTTCATCGCCCCCAGCTTCCAGAAGAAGCACGTTCCAATTTTCTATCTCAGACAGGCGACTTGCCACCACAGCTCCTACAGTGAATGTTTAATAAAACTTGGTTGAAATTGGTAAACGTGATCTGTACACGGACTAAAATAAAATTTTGCGGAAAAATGAAAGAACATTAGGACAGGAAACACTAGAATGAAGTAGAACGAAGTAATTAAATTAAATTACCGATATAAAAGAATACTATTCATCTCCTTGGATCCACGATTTTTCGAAAGAAAGTAATTTTAATTTTGTATCCACTTTAAGAATTAATGATGTGAACACACCTGCTGAACCAGCTCCCACTACGATAAAATCATAAGCAGGCAAGAGCACTTCAGAGGGTATATTAATCGGCGGTGCCTCGTTGTCCATCACTTCGTACTCGAAATAAACGAGGGCCGCAGCGAGCACAGGAAAGAACCACGAAAGTCCGCTGGATGCCGAGGTCAGGCCTCCGGTTAAAACGCTCTCGATGCCCATTCTTTTCTTCCCTTATCAATCGTCTGCAATATTAAAATTCACCAAATCATCATTCGCTCGAACTACCTTCGATCAAAAATAAAACATAAAATTCTCCGAATTTTTTTAACTCTCAAGTTGAAGTATCTCAAAGATGACTTATTTCTTAAATCCAACATCAATCTCATTTCACTTAATATGATCGAAAATAAATGATATTCGAACCTCGAAATAATTGAAATAAAATTGAAATCAAATGTTCTCAAATAAGTGTTATTCGATTTTTTCCACAAACACCATTTTTTTTTTTTTTTATTTTTTTTTTTTATTTATCCGAAAAACGAACGCAGAACGTCCTCGTGTTCATCCATGATGGACGACCGTCTCGAGCAAACAGTGCTTCGATACTGTCGAACCTCAAACGAATTCGTAGCCACGTAGAAATCGGTTAAAGAAAAGTCAGAGGCTGTTGTGCACACGTGGTTTGATACGAGAGGAATATCAATGGCACGTGAAACTTTCAGTTGTTAAGTAATTCACCATTATCGCGGTCAGAACGGTCATGATGATCCTCACGTACATCCTATCGTCGAAACTTTCCGCGAGTAGGGGAGATCCTGTGTCAATTTTCGTCAATTCGAATCTTGATCCGAGCACGTTTCGAAAATTATTTCTTCGATAAGGAACGAACTCTTTTTCGAGTTCGAACATTTGATTAAATTTTTTTTTTTTTTTAGTTAACTTATTTAAATCGTATTGTATTACTTTCAATTTACAACGAAAATCGATATTCTCAACGGATGGATATTTTTATTTTTATGTTCCAATATTTTAACATATTGAGAATATTTCTTGATTATTTATCAACGTCTCTGCAATAAAATTATTACTTTTAAGATAAGTACATTATCATTTAATAAAAAAGAAAATAATAATTAAAGATTCGAAGGAAAGAAATTTGTCTATCCCTGACAAATAATTGTTGAAAATGTCTATTAAAAATTTAATCATTTTATGACCAACAGAGAAACCAATTATATTCAACCATTATGGTATAATGGTACTACGATTATACTGCTAATTTTATTTGTTTCAAATCATTCCATTGAAATTATGCGGTTATTAAACTAATCTATCATTTAATTCGTATATCTTTTTAGTTCTGTATTATATAAAGGAGGTCAGGTCATAACCTATCATCATTGTTATTTACATTATAAGCTGCGGGTGTGATGATCACGTTTTTTTATTGTTTTCTAGATTTCTGTGCCATTTTCTAAACTCTGTTTATAATTTAAAAGCCACGATTTGCCCTCATAATTCGTGTCATTGTATTAAGAGTCTAAGTCAATTGCAACGAAAATTATATTTCTTCTCTTAGATTGGTAGAGATTCGGAGAATAAAAATTCTAAAATTTACCTTGGAAATATTTTTAACTTTCTGTATTTTTATTATTGAATTTTAATATATCAATGTATAGTGGATGCCATTAAAAACAAAGTTAACCTCAAAAGAAATAAAATTTTTGTGCAATAGAAAAGAAAGAAGAGAGAATGTTTTATCTACAGCAATAATAATTTGTGCTATGCTGGACTCTTAGATTTTTAATTTTACATTTGGTAGAAATTGAATATATTTGAAAAGGAAAGTAATACTTGCTCACCTACTTCTGAAGAGATAGCAAATGCAATACAATCTAGAAACTTCTTTTCTTCCAAATAATCGATATACATGAAATTTTCATCACGACTTCTTGCATTGGCTACCAATCTTCTCTCTCATAATAAGAATACTGTACATCACAATCTGACGAGAAATAGCTCAAACTTCCTCTTATAATCTTATTTTTCCAATAATTAAAGCGTCTAACGGCATTGGAACAGAAATACTTTGCTTTTTAATCATAATTAATAAATTCTTCTTGAATTTTTGTTATCCAATTATCGTTTCTTCGTTTCGCCGTTGACAACAAATCAATACTCGAGTTTTCTTCTTCTCTCAATTTCACATTATTCTCTTTGTAAAATTTCTCGACTAGTAGAATTTTCAAGAAAACACACTCCAAAATCACTCTTTTCGAACAATCGAACAGCCGATCCATTCTCAACGATTCAATATTCCTCCAATCATATCAAATATTTTTCCACTATAATAAGCTCACAACAAAAAAATACAAATGCGCATCACTTCACTTCCTCTTTTTCCTTTTTCGTCAAATTCGAAGATAATTCCTATAAACACGAAGAATAAATTAATTTTCCAAAGTGTGTGATCGATCGAATCATTTCTCTCTAACAAAGGAAATAATTAAAAATTTCACGACAAAGATATATAATGGAGACTAGTTGACGTACGATGTAACACTGACCACGACCTTGCTCTTGTCAGAGGTTTTCACATGGATTCATTCGTAGTAGAGGAGCGCAAACAGGTTAACAATCTTCTCGAACGCGGTATAACGGTCCTCCGCTTCCTCCTTCTTCTTCGACCTCTCCTCCTTCATCTCCGTTCTCTTCCTGCTCGCCATAGAAACGAAACTTTACACACGTGGAATTCAGAGGACATATCACTCTCCGTGACCTCTTCGTGTGCTCTATTTTTCCCCATTTTCTTTTCCTTCTCTCTCTCTCTCTCTCTCTCTTTTTAAATCATAGACAGAGACGAGACGAGTTTCAACCTGAAAAAGATATAGAAAGGATGTTAACAAAGGATATTTTACATGGTATGTATGGCAGGATTCAAATAGAATCCAATAGCATTCGAGGAATCATTCTCCTATTTTTTTCCTTTTTCGAATTGAAGGCACATAGAAGCAAATTATTTGGACAATGATACTTCGAATGCATTGAGAGCCAAGTATAAAAATGTCGATCAAGAATTATATATTCAATTGTAAGTAATTTAGTTTTGCCTTAAATGAAAACAGGAGTCGAATTACCGTAATATACAAATGAAGATTTCTCAACGTGTACCAGTATCGAGCTATAACGTATTTTAAACACGTGTACGAAACGCGAATTAATTCCATTCGTATTAATTTTGACAGTAAACCACTAATTTTTAATTAATAATATTTAGTTTATATAAAGTGTTGATCAAAAAATTTCGGATATTTTAAATTTTCTCGAATTCCTCCGAAATTTAAATAAATACGATTTTTCGATTGTTCTTGAAAAGATCGGAATTTTGATGGGCCGACAGTAAAATTTAGAAGGACGGATAAAAAAAAAAGTCGTCGATAACCGTTTGTAAACGTTATAAAATGAATAAATAAAAAAATTCTTGTTAATAAAAAAAAATCGTCGATAGCGGATTACGTGATACGCGTCACGTCCATGGTGAACGCGATGCCCCCCATTCGGGGAATTATTTCTTGACGTCATCCAGCTTACGGTAAAAGAGTTGGCCGTCGCCGTCCTCTATACAGCAACGTCCTACTTACCGTTGCAACACCATCGCGATTATGTATTGGGCTTAACGATCATTGAATCGCAAATCGAATTGTGACAAACAATGTTTGAGGAAAAGTTGGCCTGTTGAATCATTTTGTTACGCTCGCATTGCCGTTCAGAGTTTCTCAATTTCAGTGTTTCAACATTTTCTTGTTTAAATTGTTTCTGGAATTCTTCTTCGATTAAGCGGAATTAATTGTCTAAGTAATTTTCGATGTAATATATAAATGTATTATATATATTCCATTTAATAAAAAATATGAATACGCGTCTCAATTTCCTTTAATTTCTTCAATATTTTCTTTGATACCATTCAGTGACTTTTTTATTCGCCAATAGTACATTAAAATTGTAACATTTTACACGTATGGAGATACTCGAGTTATTGATCCTCATAATTCATATAATCTTCACTGAAAAACAATACATTATCGTTTATCTCTTTAGAAATTAATTCATTATATTTATGATAAATATAATAAAAAATTGGATTTCAAAATGTTTTTTGTAAATTTGTACTAAATTATTTTTCGATTCCCGAACAGGGGGATGTTGCGGGTCCATGAAGAAGAGGACCATCGTAGGTGGTTACGCGTTCACGTGGTGGTTCGTGACCGACGTCCAACGGTTATCTCTCGAGGTGATGACACTGAATCCTGTGTGTGAAAGCGTGGAAACCGCGCAGGGAGTACCATTGACCGTCACAGGAGTAGCACAGTGCAAGATCATGAAGGCTGATGAACTCCTCCACACTGCCAGCGAACAATTTTTAGGAAAAAGCGTTTACGAAATCAAATCGACAATCCTTTCTACCCTCGAGGGTCATCTTCGTGCGATATTAGGTATATCTCTAGAAGGAATATTAAAAAAAAAGGAAAGTAGAATGAACATGTTCGAACTATAAAAGTAGGAGACGCTTTATGTAACAATTATTATCGCGCACGATGAATTGAAAATTGACATATTGAACAAGAAAAACGTAGAGTATTTTTAACAGTAGGTTCTTATACATGGCAAATTCGAATATTTTATGGCAAATGAATAATTTATTACTCTATTCACTGCGAATAAAACAAAAGTTTCAAAATTACAATATTTTAGAAAGATAAATAAATAATCAAATTGAAGATTAAATATAAAATGACTAACCGTTTCAAATCTCGAATCATTTCATAAGTGATCTAAAACATGTATTTGTCCAAAATTCAATTATTTTATCCCAATTCGTCTCAAACGTCATATAAATAATTAAATTTCACATATATATTCAATTGATAAAAATATATAATAATAATAGTGTGCACATTTATGGATCGTAAAATCAAACATTCAAATATCGTCTCTTCCCTTTGGGATCCATATTTCAAAATATGGCCGTTTATCTAAATAGGAAAACTGTGGGTAACTTTCAGGCACGTTATCGGTAGAGGAGGTGTACAAAGATCGGGATCAATTCGCGACACTGGTGAGAGAAGTAGCGGCGCCAGATGTTGGTCGCATGGGGATCGAAATTTTATCGTTCACGATAAAAGACGTATACGACGACGTTCAATACTTGGCTTCACTTGGCAAGGCACAACTGCGGCTGTCAAACGGGACGCCGATGTCGGCGTCGCCGAGGCGAATCGCGATGCTGGCATTCGGGTACGTTCGCGTCTGAAAAATAATCTCGATTAGACTTGTGACCATCGATAATATCGACATGTTGTCGATAGGTCGATAATGTCGTTAAAAAAATCGATAAAAATGTATGAAAGTAAATATCGAAATTATTATTTATTTATATTTATATTTTTTTGAAATTATTATTAAAAGTGTTGTTAACGATGCATAAATCGATATTTTCATGATATTTTTATGACTGTCAATAATATTTCTTTATGTCTTGCATACAGTTATGGTAAAACAGCAGGAACTATAGTATATCTATATCTAGTAAGAAACTAGAAAAATTTTAGGAATCATAATTACGGTATTAATGAATTATATATATATAAAATTATTAATTATAAATATAAATTATATATAATTTACATGAATTTAATTAATTAGTTGTTACTTAATTAAATGTTTTATGTATATAAGTGACTAAATACTCATTGATATTTATTTCGTATACGAAATTGACCAATAGGAGGCAGAATGTGAAAAAGCAGCGATGGATATAAAATATAATACCGACACAAAGATCGAAGACAATGCCAGACTCTTTCAACTGCAGAAAGCGAATTTCGATCAGGAAGTGAACACGGCGGTAAGTCACGCTCGAAAGATTCAATTATGATCGAATATTTTTATCAGAGAATTATATAGAATTTTAATAAAACTGATTGGATCGGATATATAGAAGGCAGAGGCACAGTTGGCTTACGAACTTCAAGCGGCAAAGATAAGGCAACGAATACGAAACGAGGAGATTCAAATAGAGGTAGTGGAGAGGCGTAAACAGATCGAAGTTGAGGAACAAGAAGTACGTCGAAAGGAACACGAGCTTCAGAGCACCGTGAGATTACCCGCGGAGGCTGAACATTATAAAATTGGCAAAGTAGCCGAAGGAAAGAGGTAATTCTGTATACGTTAAATTAAATTAAAAATATATGAAAAATAGATAAATTAAAAATAATTTGAGTTTATTAAATTTATGGAAAAAATATAGAAGATTAGTCAATTTAAAGTATTAATAGAATAAAAAGGAATTTATTATCCGTAAAAAAAAATCGATTTTCCTCGTATTATTCTAAGCGTAGATATGCTTTAACTAATTTCCTCGTTTTTAGAACACAGACCGTGAACGCGGCTATAGCTGAAGCTGAGAGGATTCGATTGATCGGAACAGCCGAAGCTCAAGCATTAGAAGCGATTGGAGTATCAGAGGCTCAACGTATGCAGATGAAAGCCGCTGTCTACAAGAAGTACGGTGGAGCTGCTATTCTAAATATTGCACTCAATGCTTTGCCAAAGGTGAGAGATCGTTCTCTTGATCGCTCGTGAAATTATCATGATATTTGAATATATACTATATATTCTATAAATATATCGAATTTTATAAAAAGAATTTTGAAATTTCATACTCTTGATCAAATTTTTCAAACAAAAAAAAAATAAATAAAAATGGTATATTATTTACAAAAATAGAATATTTTTCAAAACTTAGAATTTCTCTCTTTTCATATTATTAAAAATATATATATATAAGCATAATAATACTTAATAACATATTTATGGACATACTATCAATTGATATACACTTCATTGTTTCAGATTGCAGCAGAAGTGGCCGCACCACTAGCGAGAACAGAGGAAATCGTTCTTCTTGGCGGAAATGACGCGACTAGCGGAGAAATTACACGCCTTGTGGGGCAAGTACCTCCAGCTGTTCAAGCACTGACCGGTGTAGATATTTCAAAAGTATGTTTAAGAGGCCACCGGCCTCTTAGAAAGTGTATAAAGATAACGTTCGGTATCGAAAGTACTGTATATTTAAATAAAAGTTGCACGAACTTTCAAAGATGAAATATTTCAATTTCTCTATCGAGTATGATAAATAGATTAAATCTAATTTCTATATAATTTCAAAAAAAAATCTATATAATTTCATAATTTCATATACAATATTTTAATTAAAATAGTAGAATGTAATAATTTATATTGTTATTAGTAAGTAATTTAAAATTTTGAGGCTTTTACATTCTCCTATTGTTTAAAACTTCTTACCTTAGAATATAAGATAATATCATTTGATTTTTAAAAAATCCAGAATACTGACAAAATAATTGAAATAAAATTCCTATTGAACACTGCCACACTCAGGTATCCAAAGCAATTTTCTTACAATTTTCTCACAATTTAATATAGATATCGCATTTTTAAGCTTTTAGTTTATTATCATATAAAACTTTAACATATTATACAACGTTTCATCATGTGAACTATTTTCAGGTGTTAGGCAAGATACCAGGAGCAAAGTAATGACGGAAAAAGCAGCAACGGCGACCAGACGATCGGATACTCGGAATCGGCTGAAGAAAAGAATAAACACTATACTGCCAAAGATTTCTCTGCTATTCTATCATCTACCAGTGACACTTCACTTTGTTCTCTTTCCCGAATTACTCTACCTCAAATGTAGATGAAACGACGCTAAACAGAACCGATCAAATCGGTTATTCCTCCGCTACGAATGCGTCGATTTTAAGGCCGATCATATACATATGACATAAACTCAATGTCTTATCTTTCACATTATATTATATTGGATCATTACAACGCACACAATCTATTTCGACTTCATCATGGTTTATGCACGTTCATTTTTCACGTGCATTGTTTTGAAGATTTTTTGGATCCTGCTGAATCCTTTTTCAATAATCGAACTTTAATCGGTGCAGTCTACAATGAAATTATAATATAGAAAGAAAGAAAAATGTGGAAGAATGAAACGAAGAAGATGAAACAAATCGGCAAGCAACAAAGAAGAATCTAAAGGAAGTTTATGGAAAATCAAGTACATGCTAAACGTATATCGCTAATTATTTGCGAGTTAACTATTGTGATTGAATACTGTCGACAATTGTGTTCAACTTCATAAATAAGAAACTTAACGAAGGGGGTGATAAGAAAGAGAGAGAAGATGACGAGACACGTTCGTGCGGAGTAGGCGTGGCGAATTAACTGTCCATAGTTACAGTTGTACATATACTAGTTACGTGTGTGTCATAGCAACTGGAATTTCTATCTTGCTTATATCGAGACGTATCAAATGAGAAAAATATTGATTTTCAGATGTTTGAAAAAATTGAAGATACTGCAATTTTTTTGTTACAGTTTAAAAAAACTTAAAATGAAATCATATTGAGTGATTTTTGATAAGATATTTAAATTAGAAATGGAAATTCATATATAAGAAAATTCAAAGTTAAATGATGTTCTCATTCACATTCAAGAGACTTTGCTTCTAAGGAAAGTGAATTTCTATGATCTTACTTTCTAATGGAATATCCAATGTACAGTCACTTTTCTAAATTGCATTGCTATTGCACTGCGTGTATTTTCAATATACTGATTCTTCTATTGTATTTATTGTTTATATGCAAATATATTAGAATAAGATGAATTATCAATCATTATTCAATATATTTCAGAACATTTTATTAAAAATTTAGAACTAATAATAAAACTTTTTAATTCAATTATTCTTTTTTTAAAAATAACTTATAAAAATTTCAACAATTATGAAATATATGAATATAATGCTATTCCAATAATCAAAAGAAAATTCTAAAAATTATTAAAAAAATTTGATTATTCTCGTTTGATACGTGTACGCATTTGAAATTCTCTCGGTTGACCACGCATCGGAATCAATCGCATTCCCGCCACCAAAATGTACTCTCCAAACCGAAAAAAGTGCCAATCAATTTGTAAATACAGAATCGTCTTGCCGCCGTATAGCAGAACAAATGATAATTTTCTATTGCGCAATGAGCATTCTGTTGTGTTGCACCTGTTTTTTCGATTCGGTTCACAATAGTGCTCGCATCCAAGCATTAACCTCTATGATGATTTTTTGCTTTAAAGAGAATATTTGAGACGGACAATTCTACCGCGCGAGAAAGATGTCCATCTCGACATCGCGATTACGATGATTAAATCGTAATGATAAACTATGATATCGGGCGTCGCCGAGTACAAATTTCATTGTCCTGTCCCGGTATTATATTTGATGCTCCCAAATAATAGATAATTAGAAAGAAAAGAGAGATTGGTTTGACGATTTTTATTTTGTTCAATAGAAACAAAAAAAGAAAAAGAAAAAAATAAATTTATGACAAGAAAATTCTTTAAGAAAAATTTTATTTTTCTTTTTTTTTTTTTTATTAATTTTTTTCTCTTATATATTTTAATTATTTGTTGAATTTTGTTGAAATTAAAATTATTTATTTATTTATATTTTATTTATATTTATATTTATTTTATATTTTTTAACTTATATATATACTTTGTATTTATATAACAAATCTTCAAACCAAAAATCACAGAAAGTAAAAAAGAGCCAAAGTTTAAAAGGGAAGTGTATGGATATATTGTCATTTGTCGCCAAAGTCTTCCCAATTAATTAATTAACCAAAAAAAAAAAAAAAAAGAAGAACAAGAAAATGAGAACGTGTAGTACATTTAGAGCAGTACAAAAAAAGATGACAGAGAGAAATAATTTCAAAATGCACTTATATTCAATAAAAAGTTAAAGAATAAAAGAAAAAAGAAAAGAAAATTATTAAAGAAGTCGTAATCCGTAAGTTCAAGGTCCATGTCTATATAGTATTTTTATTATAATAAGAAATCGAAGCTGTAAATGCTAATTATAAAATAGACAAAAAAAAAAAAAGAAAAATAAGTAGTAAAAAGTTCTATTGCTCTCAAACAGATGTTTTATATAAGCTATTTTTAGTAAATATTTAGTGCACTCCTTCCGATGAGTAGTCAATGCGAGAACTCACTGTGTGTAAAATGTCTGATTACCTCGAAATGTTCTTCTTTTTCTCAATATCGTAGATCTCTAAAAGTTCAGATATTATGAGAATAAAGAAATAAGAGAAAACGAAGAAAACTGACGTTTACGTGTTATGTGAAAATTTTCTAATGTTGATCAAAATGAATTACCTATACGCAAAGTGTTCGACTTTCGTTCTGCGATCAACGATACTCCGCCGTTCGAAGACTTCTGAAAAATTATAGAAGTCTGTATGGTGATATCTTAGAACTTTTCTAAAATCTATAATAATATACATTTTCTACAATATCATTGTTTTAAGATATGTATTATATTTATTTCAAGATATTGTTGAAATAATCTTCTCGGAGAGATTTTATGATTTCATTTTGATATATTAGAATAATTGGTATTTTTAGTATTATTTTTTTTTTTTTATTATTATTATCTTACTTTTTGCAAATTAAAGAATGATGAGATCATTTTATTTATTCAACTCAATTAAATTCGAATTAATTTAACTTAAAATTAATTTTAATTAAATGTATAAATATATTAAATAACTTTATTTATAATAAGATGATATATAAACAAAATGTCAAACATTTTGCAAATATTCGTAAAAAATTATTAACTAGATTATTAATCCAAATGAAATTTAAAAAATGTGAGTCAAAAAAGAAAAAAATGACTGATAGTTGTTTATAGAGATCTACTAAATATTATTTTGTAATTATATTAAGTAATCACCAAAGATAAAAAAATATTGTCTTTAATCACGTATTAAGAGATTTATCTTGCATTGGTGAATTAAAAGTTCAACTTTCTAGAGATCAATTTTTCACTCATTTACGAACAAGTATAAACGATTTTCAATTTTCAACATAACAATAACATAATGATGTTTTTTATTAACCTATGATTCACGTAACGGAGGATTTTCTTCAAAGTTTATATAACAATTCACGAAAATCTCTTATTTCATTCAATATGTTCGAAGGGATTATAATTCCGTCAATATACTTCTGTAATAGTGCAAAACTTTTGTGTAGTTAATTGAAAGAAAAAAAAAAAAAAGAAGAGCAGAAAAAGATGAAAAAAAGAATACGCCTTGTCGTTCTAACCTAGTTAAGTGAGTGTAGCTGCGTTTTTCGATAGTATAGAATGTTTATTTTATTGTATGTTTAAATATTTAATTTTTATGAGATTATTATTAGTATAATTTACTAATCAAATGTCAATATTTTATTAATATTTGATGATTTATAAGAAGAATTGTTTTCTTTTTTATGTTAATGAAGAATAATTGAAGACTGGACGTAAAAGAGGTTATAATCTTTTTTTATAATATAAAACTCTTTTCTTATAATATAATTAATAAGATTTTAAAATAAAAAATAAACATATAATGCAAAATATTTTATTCAATTAATAATCGTCTTTTTGAAAATTTTAACATAGTATATATTCATTTTTACGCCAGTACTCAATTAAGACTTGTTATTTCAATATGAATCAAAAAGAATTTATTTGACAAGAATATAAAAATATTCAAACAATCTTTGTGGATTTTACAATCATAATTTTTTATGATTTAATATTTTTGTTTTTATTAGCAACACTATTTATAACTTGAATTTATTTCATTTTGTTATATTAATAGAAAATTTTAAAATCTATTTAGAAATGTTTATACAGTTTTAAAAAAATTCTAAATATTTTATTAAATAGAATAAATGCATTTTATTTATTATATTCCCAGATAGAAAGATTTTAAAATCTTTGAATCTATAATATTAATGATTTTAATGCATAGATAAAAAGGAATAAATGAATAAATTTTTTTTATTATCGATTTTTTTTAAAAACGATATATATATATATATATATATATATATAC